CTTAACTACTTTTATAAACACACGCTATAATTCACAGCGATTCACTCTTTGCTTACGGTGTCTACTGTTCTCTTGACTCAATTATTTCTCTTCCATCTATCTCCGGCCTATATACTAAAAATGAGGGCGTCCAGCATATGCTGGGACATTCGTGAGGTTGCCCGATAAGTCACGATCCTTCTAGAAACTCCAGCGCGCATGCTTCCAGCGTCGCGTGACTTCCGCTGTCGTAACACAACCATGAAGACCAAAGAGCTTTCCAAACAAGTCAGGGATAAAATGATAAAGATTACAGAAGCACAAATCAGGAGAAGGTTACAAGAAAATTTCAAAGTCGCTGGTTATCCTTTTGAGTTCGGTAAAATCCATCATTAAGAAGTGGAATGTGCTTTATGCCATCCAGTCACTACCCAGATCGGACCGTTCTTCCAAACTAAGCAGCTGGGCAAGCAGGAAACTGGTTATGGATGTCACTGTGAAGCCAACAGTGATTTTGAAAGATTTGCAAAGTTGCATGTCTGAGATGAGTGTCAGTGTTCATACACCGACAGTATCCTGGTCCATACACAAAGCTGGCCATTACTGAAAAAGAATCATCTTAAATCTCGTGTGGTGTTTGCCACAAACCATGTAAATGATACTGTAGTCATTTAGAAGAAGGTTTTGTGGTCAGTCTAGACAAAATTGATCTTTCTGGTCTACATTAGCTTTACGTCTAGTGCGAGCTCAACACTGCACATCACTCAGCCAATACCATTCCAACGGCTATGTATGGTGGTGGAAGCACCATGTAATGGGAATGTTTCTCATCAGCAGAGACTGGTGAGCTTGTCAGGATTGAGGGGGAAGATGGGTGGTGCAAAGTATAGGCGAATACTAGAGGAAAACTTGCTTGAGTCAGCAAAGAATATAAAACTGGGTCGAAAATTCACATTTCAGCAGGAAAATAACCCAAATCACAAGGCCGAAGCCACACTGTAGTGGTTTCAAAAGAAGAAAGTGAATAAGTAAAACAGACAGTTCTTGTGCAAAAAAATAAAAAAACGACGAAACATCAACGTTTTTTTTAGTCACACAATAATTTATTTGTAAAGTTTAAAAAATATAAGTTAAAAAAAACGTTAAAAATCTACATGTTTTGGTGGAAATAATTCAACCATCTTCATGGCAATGAACCACAAAATACACATAAAGTTTCTTATAAACCTATGTACGTGTATAATTATCATGTTTATACAATAGCACCATTTACAGCAATGATTTCCAAAAGTTTACTTCTGTGGCTCCTCGGCCTGAATCTCTATTTATATTCATTTTGTTTTTAACAATTTCTAAGGATTCTCTTGTATTTAATTCATCTTTTTGCGTTACCTGTTTAAGTATTTTTACATTATCCCAGTCAATAACTTGTAGAATTCGCCACATGTTCCACCAAAGCCGATTCATCGGATTTTGGTGTTCTTCTTTTCTAAATTATAAGTTCCTACTTGTCTGTCCAATATAACTTAGACCAGAAGTACATGAAATTTTATATATACCAAATTTATCCCTTAATTCAATTTTATCTTTCAAACCATTAATTATATGACTTGATTTTAATTGCAGAGTAAGTGTTACTTGGCAATTCATATTTTGCCTAAACACATTACCTATTTTTATTGACCATGGTGAAACATGGGGCAAACATATTCTCTACTTCCCTTTTTGTTATCTGCAATTTAATACATCCAGAAATTTGAAGTTTGTTACAATATTTACTGTACATCCTATCTATGATTTTAGGTTGGTACCCTATATCAATCGCTACCTGTTTTAAATACGTTAATTCTAACTTTAACTCCTCATCATATGAAGAAACATTAATAGCCCTATAAACAAAAGACGAAAATGGGGACACTTTTTGTGACCAAGGATGACATGATCTCACATGCGGCGGCATGGTAACTGAGAATGGCTTCCTGTATACAGAAGTAGACAGAAAACCCCTCTCTCTTTTTACAGAAACATCTAAAAAGTTTAAACAACCCACATCTTCAACTTGTAAAGTGAATTGTGTAGTAGGGCTGATCGAATTCAGATGCCGCTGGAACTTAATCAAAGTGTCATTACTATGCCGCCACACCACAAACGTGTCATCTACATACCTTACACACACCTCGAGATTTATCATCGATGGTTTTAGCGCACAAGTTTCAACTCAAACATGAAAATGTCCGCTAACAAAGGTCATAAGGATGACCCAATAAACAAACCTATATTCTGTTTGTAAATGTTATTTCTTACTTTAAAATAACTATTAGTTACACACACAATCTTGTTAATTTTTTTAATATCGTGTACTTTCAACCATTGATGTCTCATTTTGCTAATATTATTTAAAAAGAAAGTGGATGTCCTAGAGCGGCCTA